TTTAATTGCTCCCTCAGGCTCGTGGTGTATAGTTGTTCATGCTGGTAATGAAAACGGATGTATTCCTGAAACATGTGATATATTCGAAGCTAAGAAAAAGAAAGGAGATTACCACGGGGAAATGAATTCAGATTATGAAAACTGGTTTGAAAAAAAAAATTACAGCCTAATTTGCAACCGAACCACGTAACTTGTCTTGGATAATGAGTTTTCACAGCGCTTTGTCTGAAAACATTCCTTTTTCAAGTACAAGGAAAGCAGTCATTCAGCTCTAGTTGACAGAAAAAAATATTCTTTGGGAAGCTGACATGTTGAAAGCAGAACTTTTAGTTCTCGTATCTAAATTTCAAAAGCAATTTGAATTGCATCGTTAGATGCTATAGCTGCTGAAGTCAGACATACTGTACTTCGTTTACCACAATCATTACGAATTGAACCCAATTGAACTCATATGGAGTAGTGCAAAAGGATATCTAGCATCCAAAAACTGAACTTTCAAAAAGAATGAAGTCCATAAATTGATTGAGAAAGGAATTGATTTGGTGACTCCTATCCAATGGGCTAAATGAGTACGCCAGTTAATAGAAGAGGAGAAAATATGGAAATTAGATTGTCTGGTGAAGAACATCGTTGAGTGTGTGAAATGTGTTGATGAGTCAGATTCTTCAAATGATAACCTTAGCGGGATTGGATATCTCGGTTAAAAAAAAGCCCTTTTCAGGGCCACAAATTAAAAATACAAAAGCCGTTTAAAAGCCACAAACTTAAAAAAAGGCAGAACTATAAACAGCTATAAATACAAGCTAACATCCCTTAGATTATATAATAATATGAATGTGTCCCACCAGTAGCTGAATGGTTAAGATTGCTGAACACTGACAGTTCGACACTGTTTCAACCTAAGCGAACGGACTGGATTCATGGTTTTTCCCAAGTGCAATGTGAATACAAGCTCATTTCTTTAAGAAAGTAATCCACAAATGTATCTCACTCCTTAGACACATAGCTCTTGAGTGCTTTGCTATATTCAAATGCCTTAACATAACCAACACGGAAGTACTGATGAATTAAGCTAACTATGGTAGAAGGAACAAGGGTTTCTGTCTCAAGGATGTGATGTCTTTCTCGAGACTTAATAATTCTTATCAACATTTGTGCTTTGTTATAATTAACAAAAGACATTTTTAATGTTATATTTTTTTAACTGATTGGTATAAGATCATTTGCTTCTTAATTTTTAAGTTTATTCTACAGTTTTAAAGTTTTTAATATTTTTCTAAGTTTTGAAATTTTTAAAGGTAAACTGCTTAGACGTTAAGCCTGTAATCTGAACATCTCAGTGTCTAGTATTTTTATATGATTTTAAAGAGTAATAAAAAAAGATAGGATAAGACGCACTGTAGGAGGGTGATTGCCTTGGCATGACAGGAAGAAAATGTGTCTTAGGAGACAATATAGGATATAATTTTTATGATGTCTGCGATAAAATATAGAGTATTTAAATAATCACAAATTAAAATTAAATTAACATCTTTAAAAATAAAAATTGACATTTTCCCCTGGTTCACTGTCTTGAAAGAAACAAACTGTGCAAACTCTTAAAAATTAAGAGAAAATTACCTACTATTAGATTTTCTAAATTTATATATTTTACTTTTAACTAGGAAAAATTTAACCCAAACTAGAAGCTCTTCCATTTCAAGCTTTAAGTAATGATTCGGGTTTTAAATGTCTTCAAATTCATATGTGTTGCATTTAGATAATGTGAAAAATTTCATATAGATTAAAACAATAACATGTCCTACATTTTATGCTACCCTGAACTAACAACTCCAACTGCAGCTTCATTGCATAAAAAGATTGATACTTAAAAATATGCTGGATTTGGCAAGAGGTTGCTAAATGCACAGTGAATTGGAGAAATTGAATTTTCGCAGGCGGTTTGGTGAATATGGATAATTTGAAGAACAGGGTGAAAAGCCGTGAAAAGGTCGTTCTAACCTTGTATGTGTTCTCAGGTTAGTTTGTCGAGAAGTAGAGTTATTATATGATATCGATATTGTGTTAAGTTTCATTATATGATATCGATATTAATTGCAATATTGACATTAATCATTATTCTTACTGATTAGTAATTTTTGTATGATATTGATTAATGGCTTGATTAATTTGCAGTTAATGGAGGCAGTATGTTGTGCAATAGCACCAGCCATTATTTTTATTATATGGTATTGATATTAATTGCAATATTGATTATTAAACATTATTGTAATTGATAAGTAATTTTTGTATGATATTGATTAAAGGCTTAATGAATTTGCAGATAATGGATCGGCAGGATGTTATGAAGCACCAGCCATTTGCAGTCTTTGAACTACAGCATCCTATCTTTGGAATAACTTAAAAGCTTATCATTAGGAATGCAACTCAGGTGTTAAGCGTAAGATCGTTGAGGGCACATGCCTAATAATTCTTGTAAAATACTATATTACACACATAAATAAATTATATGTGTGTGTTAATATATCAGATGGTGAACATCACTTACCTATGAATTAATACTTCATACCGAAACCACATGAAACAATATAAGTAGTTACAACAACCTATTAACAAGAAATCCTATACCTACTCAAAAATAACATCTTTTTTTGGTTACATTTTTGTTTTAAAATTGCGTAGGGTCTTATAAAAGGGTATTTTGATAAATGAATTACAGAATGAGAGAAAAGAGTTTATCACATTATATACAATAATTACACTTTAGATATTAACCATAGAAGTAATTACCATACATATAAACTGCACAATTACTGCTAATTATAAAAGCCAAATCTAATTGAGCAATTTTAATTTAGGCCTGCTTCCACAATGCTGGTCTGAGTACATGAACACAAATTGGTGCTAACGTATTACTAACAAAGTCTTTGGACTACAGCTAACAACTGTCATTTCAAGAAAATTCTGAAGGTGGGCTAAAAATATTCTCAGAATTACTGGAAGACATATTTATCTACATCCTTATTTCTTGAAATTTATTCTAAAATGTAAGGAGAATCTTATATTTCAAGAGGTTTCATTTCCAAATAAAAAAGATATCAAGAAACTTGCATAGTTAAGTGATTTTTTTTAAACAACTTTACTTCTCAATTTCATTCACAGCTGATAAATGTACAACTGAATTATACTACTACTACTTGGCAGTGATTACAATTAAAAAGCTTTTCTTTACCTATACAACAGCAATTGTAAAATGCACCATTCCAAGAAATAAGAATGTTACAATACATAAAATATTCTCTTTTTACATAACTTACAACTAACTTCAGTAACACCCAACTTAAATACTTCCCTTTATCAGCTGAACTGTTTTATGATAGCCAATTAAAAATTGTGAAGAGGCAAATATTAAAATACATCTGAAATGCTGATTTTATTGGCCCTTTCAGTACAGGAAAAAAATCTTAAGTCATTACATCAGCACACAGCTGAATTTCATATCCACAAAATATATATTTACATGCACAATAATATACATTTCATACGTATACAATTTAAATGATATACATTTTATGGTGTATATTTTTATGCATATAATGACGATACATAATATACACTGATGGAAAAACAAAATTTCCAACATCAAGAAAAAAAATTTTGTAATGAAATTTGGGCAATACATTTGTCTATGTAACATATTCAATTGAGTAAATTTTCAAGATCACAAATTAATGCATGTGTGAAAACAGACATTTTAAATGTGAAATGCTGGTACATCAATAACCAGTGTGACCGCCAGATTTCTGCAAATGTGCACGCATTGTGTCATATAAGACCCGGATGTCTGTGGGATTGAGTTCAACACCTGTTGCACTTGGTCGGTCAGCACAGGGACGGTTAATGCTGATTGTGGATGAGGCTGGAATTGTTGTCCAATAATGTACCATACATGCTTGATAAGAGAAAGATCTGGTGATCTAGCAGGTCAAGGCAACACATTGACACTCTGTACAGCATGTTGGGTTACAACGGTAAAAGGGCAAGTGTTATCCTGTTGAGAAATAACCACCTGAATGATGTTCATGAATGGCAGCAGAACACATTGAATCATCAAACTGATGTATAAATTTGCGCTCAGGGTGCTTAATATATAACCACAAGAGTGCTCCTACTGTCATACAACAAATTGTCGTAACTGTCATGAAATCATTCCCTAGACCATAACTTCAAGAAGGTCCAGTGTGTCTAGGATGCAGACAGGGTTGGCTGCAAGTGTTCACCTGGCCTCCTTCTAACCAACACACAGCCATCACTGGCACCAAAGTAGAACCAACTTTAATCAGAAAATACAACAGATCTCCACTCCATCCTCCAATGAGCTCTAGCTTGACACCAGTGACGTCACAAATAGCAGTGTTATGCATGCTACAGGCATCTCAATCTGGCTCAAAACTGTCCTTCAAGTAAATGATTTGTAATAGTTCATTGTGCCACTTGTAGTGCCAATTCAAATTTCTGCTGCTGCAGTATGATGGGCCAGAGGCATACGTCGAACATGGCAGTCCACCCTCTCAGTAGTGTCAAATGGCTGCCCAAAACCCCCTCTTGACAGAGTACCTGCCCTTGACCACTGCTGCCAACAATCATGTGCAGTCGATACATTACTGCCAAGTGTTTCTGCAATATCACAGAAAGAATCCACGTCTCGTAACGCTATTACACGATCTCGTTCAAACTCACTGAGTTGTTCATAATAGCTGTTTCGTCTTCTTGAAGATATTCTTGACTAACTCATTAGGTCAAATCTCAACATTAAATAATGCTCAAGAACTTTAGACAGCATATTTAAAGCAAACCTGACTTGCATGTTCATAATCGTGCTACTAAATTTCATTTACATAGCACAACTCTTTCATGTTGAGACTTCCCCCCCCCAAAACCAGTCACCAGTGTATTTTACCCTAAAGTATGATACATTCTACTTTTAGCAATTAATTTACCTGTGGCCAATCAGAGCATCATCTTCCCAATGGCTTTCAACAGAAGACTGCTGATCAACTTCTCCAACATCTGAAGCGTCCAGTGTAGCAGAGTGCTTTTTAGTTTTTGCCCTCCAGTTTGAAAGCTTCCTTTCCAAATCCTTCTGTATGGGAACAGGTATTCGAGGAAAAAGTGTTGAAAACCATTCTAATTTAGAAAGGAAATGACATAACATTTCTCCTATTGTCATAACTTGACCTCCACCAGCTTTCACATCAATTTCCTAAAAAAGAATACATACCAGTTGAGAAGCAAGAAAATCTTGCATAAAAAAAAAATAAATAAAAAAGTACTACTATAATGATATACAATCAAATATTTACCATGAACATTCTGTAATAAATGAAGAAACAAAATAATTCCCTCAAAATATAAGTGTTTCATTTCACACGGGTGGAAAACTGCATTTTTAAGATTTAAAAATATGTGTACCATATCCTTTCAGAATACTTACCAATAATCCGCTAAACTAACTTGAAGATATTATATAACAAAATGTTTTATAAAGAATTAAAAAAACCTTTAAGGTGCCTGATACTGACTAATGAATTGTGTAATTCCGCGTTGCTAATTAAAGCTTAAAATTTTATATTTCCCAGATTAATATCTTGGATTCCAACTAAAAAATAATTATACACCTTATCAGCCCTACAATACTTCCCTAAAATAAAAACTCATCCAAATATTTTTTACTAATGATCTCTGAAATTAATCTCCTTCTTCACAGGGAGAAAGATGTATTAATGATAGAAGTTGCAGGTTCTGCTTTGAGCATTCACAAACATATAAAAATATACAGATGGAGGACAAAATAATACGAACACCTATGAAATAATGGATAGGGGGTTGGACCACCCTTTCACTAAAGTGCAGATTGAATGCGACGTGGGATAGGTCATGGACAATATTTAAAGGAATGTTAAGCCATTCTTCCTGCAGAGCGGTCTCTAATTCCAAAATTCCCGATGCAGGTGGAAATCGGGAACTAAGTTTGGACTCCAAATATGTCCATAAATGTTCAATAATATTCAAGTCCAGAGACTGAGGGGGCCAAGCAAGATGTTCAATTGCATCATCATGCTCTTTGAACCATTCTTGAATGCACCTAGCAGTGCGAATAGGGGCATTGTCTTGAAAAAGCGGTCGCTCCCCAGGGAATACAGTCTGGACAAAAAGATGGACATGATCCCCTAGAATGATTAGATAGTGATTGGATGTAATCCTCCCATGCAGAATAACAAGTGGCCCAAGACCGTGCAAGGTACTGCACCCCATACCATAATGCCACCCCCCCATGCTTCACAGTCGGCAAGAGGCAGTCAGGCTAAAACGCTTCTTTGAGAGTTCTCCAGACATAAATGCGTCCAGTCATCTAAAATAGGGTGAATGACGATTCATCTGACCATATTACCTGTTGCCACTGCTGTGGGGGGCCAGCCTTTGTGATCTCTGCACCACTGGCGTTGCTTGAAAGGATTAGTTGCTATCACCGAATTGCCACCTGCCATAAATGTTCGCAGCATGAAGTTCCCTTTTGACATGTTTTGTTGAAACGAGATCCTGGAGATGACTGTTCATTTCGGATGTTATCTTGGATAACCATCGCTTGTGCTTTCAGGCTACTTTGCGCTTCAAGACCCGTCTATCCCTATTAGCCAGCTTTGACTTTTGGCCACTGTTGTGCTTTAAAGACATCGTCTTACCCTCTTTCGTGTACGCTGTCATAACGGCTGATACCCTACTCCTTGCACACCCCACAAGGTTTGCTATTTCCGTAACCGATGCTCCACTTAAATGCACTCCAACTATCATTCCTCTTTGGAACTCTGACAGGTTTGACATTTCAACTTCTTACAGACAGTTCGATTGAAGCATGCAATGCAGGTGACTGCTGTTGAGAGACTGATATCTTCCTCTTCACGCTCACTAGGTGGAGACTTCTGTTGCAGGTGTGAAATACATCATATTTTTTCACAGAGCGCTAGAGACCGAACCTTCGACCTGGAAATTCCGTACAAAGATGAAACGGGCTCTAGAAGGGACTCATCAGTGGCGGCGCAGACCCCACAGTCCCTGCCCTGCTTTATACATAGCCTCGGCGAGGTAAAAAAGAAGCTAAATACGAAGAAGATTCACCATGTCAATCTTTGCCTCGGAGCACCACTCCCTCAGCAGCAGTTAATTCGTGATAGGTGCCTCACCTTACTCTGTCAGTCCCCGTCACTGGGACCATGAGGGCTAAACCCATATCGAAGAGACCCACTTAAATCTACATATCAGCTCCACCACAGCTGGAGGAACAGACACGACAGTACCCGTACGGTCCCTGCCAAGCCTGAACCAACCTAAGTACAATACTCGGGTTCTAGTCCTGTGAAGAATGTTTGTAGGTGTTCGAATTATTTTGTCCTCCATCTGTATTTCAACACTAAATTGAGCATTGGAATACTTCAATATTCATACCACACACTGGCCAATGAATTAAAAAAACCTATGAGATTTTCATTTGAATGCACAATAGAGATGAAGTGTGTAATCTTTTTATGACATGGGTTACACTTGGTTAGAATGCTAGTATTAGTAAGGTGTTAAGTGCTTTTCACGATGAAGTAAAATGGGAAAAATGACAGATCTTTCACCATTTGAAAAAGGGCTTACTGTTGGTGTCCATTTAGCAGGGGCCTTGATTTTGAACACGGCAAATCTCACTGGGTTCTCAAAAGTAGCCATATCAAAGGTTTTCAAGGAATCAGAACCCACAGTCCTTCTCTAGAAGATGCAAATGGGGTTCAAGCTCAGTTTTCGAATGGTGTTCGGCAGCATCTCCGATGAACTGTACGGCAGAAGAGGGGACTCTACTGTGCTTCAACTGACACATATTGTAAACCAAGGCTCTTCCCAACAGATTTTACCTTGAATCATGTGCAGAGAATTGCAGAGGATAGGAATGCATAGTCAGGTGCCTCCGAGAAACCACTAACTTCTGCCCGACATGCAAGAATTTGTCTGCAGTGGTGTCATGAAAGAAGATGCTGGACATTTGAGGACTGGAAATGGGTAATGTAATCACGCTACAGCTTATTTTGCACTAATGGAAGATGTTAAATTTGGCGAGAACCGCATTAAGCCATGAATCCATCTCACCTTCTCGCACTGTGAAAGGGTCTGGTTGGAGTATGATATGGGACATGTTCTGCTGGCATGGAAGTGCCCTGGTGTTCCTCGAGGGTAAACAAATAGCCATAAGATACCTAGATATACTGGCAGATCAAGAGCCCCCTGCAATGCTGCATTTTACCCTGATGGCGATGGATACTTCATGGACAATAATGCTACATCGTACCAGAAGGGTTCAAAATTGATTTGCTAAACATCAGTTTGACTTCTAACACTTTCCCTGGTCACCACATAGCCCAGATCTTAACCACATAGAAAATGTGTGGGATATGGTGGAAAGATGCATCCGACAGCACTCTCCTTTTCCATCTAATTTACAAGATCTAAAAAGCTGCATAACTAATGCATGGGATTCTCTGGACGTAATTGCACTTTAGAAGCATGTAGACTCAATGCCAAAACAAATCAGAACAGATGTCTGTGCAAAATGTGGTACAATAAAATATAGATCCTGGTTTTCTAATTCATTGGCAAGTGTGTGTACCAGGAGACATGGGATATGTTGCTGACATAAATGCTCTGAATTACATACAAAAATTTTGACAAAGCATGAGTAAAATGCAACCTACACACAAAATTCTTCATCAGTAAAATAGCGTAACTCATGCATGAAATGTCAAAATACCATATCTTAAAATATTTTATACGTTCAGTATTTTTATAATTTATTCCAAAAATCATTAACGTATATTTTAAAACTTTTCTTTACATCAGCCTGGTCTGCACAAAAATTACATTTCTCTATACATATCACAAAACTAAAAAATATTAGTTAGAAAATGTATTCTCTGAATAGCATTTTACTTTAAAATAGCCTAAGAAAACTACCGCTGACAGTAAAAAAAAAAGTCTTTAAAAGACTAATTTAAATCACATACTTCTTCATCCTCAAGATAAGGCTCATACCAATCCCATAAATCAGCAGGCGGCTGTGTATACCTATCAAAAAAGAAAATATAGGTATTAGTAACATGTTGCTTACATTGGTTTAACATGAAAATCATAGTAATACAAATAACTACGCTCACAAATTAAATGCAGTAATGCATGTACAGACTGAATATTTTCATCAAAACAATTATGAACTGTATATTATGGGGATGAAAAAGTCATTTTGAGATACAGGTCAAACAGTACTGGAACAGAATCTGTGGGGGTTTTTACAACACTAAACCCACTTTATGATCCTTTAAAACTATTGCCTCTTATAGAAATTAGTTAATATTTTATAAATTTCAGATTAAGCTTGAAGCATTCTCTTGGTGCATTTATGCAATAACAATGAATCCTCACAGTATGAGCTTTTCCATTAAATCTTTAATTACAAAAATCATACAAATTAAAGATAGCAGTAACATAATTAATATCAATCAATCAAACTACTAAATTCAGCAAGAAATCACAATATATACATATATATATTAATATATATATATATATAAGGATTCATAAATATTCAATTCAAAGTATATATATAAGGATTCTCAGTTTACATAAATATTCAAAGTTCAATGAAATAAATGCAGTATTGACATAACACTCCATGTGAAGTTTTCCAGAAGCTGATTTTTGAACGTTTACAAAGCTGTTACAAATTATTTCCTAATAAGAAACCTAAATACACTGCCCTCCAAAAGTTAAGGAATAGCATGTTTTTTGTGTCTACTTCAACACAAACATGAATTACAACACAAAATTTCACTCTTGGCAGAGAAATCCAGTCTTAGAAAAACAGAAGATCACAGTTTTTTGAGGAAAAATGGGGTGGTAACATTACAAAAATGGGTTCTTATAAGGAATACATCGACCCCCGGCTGCAATGTTTCGTGGTGTCAATTAAGTTGTATGTAAGTGAAATGAGAAGCAATGACAAGACAAGGATCACCTAATGACCTTGGAGGAGGACTTAAAGCAGCGACCTGTCTCGCAATCTAGTCCCAAAGACACTGTATCAGATTCAGGTTTGGGAATTGAGCTGGCCATTTCATCTGCTCCATACGGTGACCCTCAAGATATTCTTCAGCAACCTGAGTTTGGTGCGGTCACGCATTCACGTCCATCAGAAGAAATCCAGGACCAATAGCAACAACATATGGACGGACATATTGATCAAGGATCTTGTCTTGTTATCTCACACCAGTCAGAGTTCCTGCATGGACCACATGCAGGTGAGTGTAACCACCAAGAGAGATCCCAGTCCAAACAATTATTCCACCACCTCTATAACTGTGTCTTTCAAAAATGTGGGATTGGTTGTATCTGGACTGTTGTTACTTCCAGATCAGCTGATGAACTGAATCACTCTCCAATGTTAACCTGTAATCGTCTGCAAAGAGAACAGATGCCCACTGTTGACTGGTCTAGGAGCCGTGTTCATCAGTTCTTTTGCCCAGCATAAACGAGCACCTTGGTGTCCTTGGGTCAAGAGGACACAAACAACTGGTTGTCTTGCATACAGACTAGTATTGTGCAGGCATCTGCATACTGTAATAACTGAGATTCTTTTTCTGTTGCCACTAAATGATCTCCAATGAGCTGAGGCACAGTAATGTTTCTCCTCCTTCGGGCCAGAAGAGCTAATTAATGGTCTCCCGCAGGTGTTGTAACTCTAGGTCTGCATGGAAATGTCTTCTAAACACAGAATCCTCAGCTTCAAACTGATTCCATAGTTATTGGATCATATTACAAGACACATTGGGACATCTAGCAGCATTAGCTTGCGATATCTCCATTTCCAGCCATTCGATCACCCGCCACGTCAATGAATCGGGCAAACGACTTTTCCTATTCTCCTGGATATTGTCAACAAAACTGCTAATAACAATTGAAGATCAACAGTCATGAACAAATCTTACAATTTTTGCATTTTCCCCCCAAATCTTACATAAAGTATTCATTTCTATAAAATAAAGGTGGTAGATATTGTTTTTGAATATATATTTTTAAACTTCGTTACTATCATGCATATAATCTATGAATTTATATGTTACTAAAATTTTAGTAATGGTGAGTTTTGAAAAATATGCTGTTTCTTAACTTTTGGAGGGCAGTGTATGCAATTCACTTCAACATTGAACACTACAGAATAGCTAAACAAAAAGGTTTTATTTTGAAGGAATGAAAAACTAACCTCTTCTTTCACAAACATAAACTATGAACTTTTCAGATTATTTGAAAGAACTACATGGAATTTATAATTGCTACTAGTTATATCAACTCTATGATTACATTATACCTGTATGATTATTAAAAATCAACAAGAAACAAAAGATATATGTTTGCAGGAACATCCTAACACTAGAAAAAACATTTTGGTTCATTGCTGTGATAAATGAAAACTGATCAGGATAGGGCATACTATCAGTGGATATCAATTGCTATAAATAGTGATTTGCTGAAAAATCAAACGAGCACTTAAGGGAAGCATATGCCAAATCATGAGCCATCGTATTACACCAGCGAGCTTTAATTTCCAAAAATATACTTCACAAAATCCAAGCAAAATCCTAACTAATGCAGTTTCATTCACACAAAGTCACAAAAGAACCATGTTAGTAAGAGCATATATATCTACTATCAATGGATTTAGATAAATTATCAAGAAAGACAAAAAATAAAAGGCTAAAGTTTCAGAAACGAAAACATGGTTTAAACACTACACAATAAATGCACTTAAAACTATCATTTTATAGCTTGAAAATTTTTAAACTCAATTCTGAAAATTCTAAAATTTTGTACTGTATCTGCTTAAATACACACAGTCATAAAAATTTATTAGTCAGGTATAATTTTAGCCATAAAATGTACAGCACCTTGCAAATATCAAATACATAGTTTAGATATTCATTAATAAAACATGGCAATCTTATCTCACTTGCATAACAATCCAAAATAAGATTTTTTTATTGCCTCTGGTCCATTAACTAAAAAAGATACTTTCAGAATTAGCCAATTATTGAATTATAATTCAAGAAATGTTAAACTTATATACAAACAATGAAGCCATCACTTAAAACTGAGATTTAAGAGGAATCAAAATGATTACTGGGATCGACAATCTTTACACTGAAGAAATAAATCTCTGTAATCTCCATCATGTATGATGAGCTACATTTTGAACATTCTGTTGGAGATCTTAATTTTCTTTGACACCTAAATAGAAATACATTCTTAACAATTAAAATGAATATCTTAGCAAAACAATGCTTAACAGTGAAGAATTTGAAAAATAACCCACAGAATCACCTTTATTTATTTATTATTTAAAGAATTAAGAAATTTCAATGAAAACATGGCTTTACTAAATCCAAAAACAAAATTATCATCATCATCATTATTATTAAAGTGAATCTCAAACCTCCATTTTTTTAACACTGCCTAGAGAGCATTTATACTTCACACACGATTGATTCACTTACAAAACAATACTATGGTATACTTCCATCGGTTGATATTCGTGAAGTCAAAATAAATCTTCATTTCTGGATTGGAATGGATTATTAGATTATGGCAAAGCCCACTACGGCTATCCTTTATGTCAGGAAACCAAAAACCTAAAAGCATTGAGAGAAATCTTCACAACAGCAACTCAACAGTTAAAATGTTTTAGTAACTTCAAAACTTTCAAGTTTTAAACATTTCTGAAATGAAAAGCATGTAAAAAATGCAATAGCGATAATACATAATGATCAGGATAAGTAAAGAATATATAAAATCAACAAAAAAGGTGACTGTAAATCTTTGTTTAAACATTAAGCCTAAAAAAATTTTTTTATTAATCACTCATACAATACACATTTTTTTTTTTTTTTTACTATTACTTCAAAATTGAAAAAAGCATTTTGACACACATAAATAATTTGAATTTAAACCTGTACAGCTTGAAAAAAGGATAGGCAGCTGCAAATGCAGATTATTATGCAAATCTATCAAATGTTTCTTCACATTTCTTATTTTAGAATTATATTTGTGGAGATAAAAATATATATATATATATATATACACAGTGGAATCTTGGATTATGAATGAACTATCTGAACGAAAAATGTCTCGAATGACGAACAAAGTCTAGGGATGCCAACACGTAAGCCAATAACAAATAATACTTGGAAATGCAAAGGTTCCACGAAGTGCAAGCTCTGGATAACAGACATCATCAAAATGTCACAAGGTGACAAGGAATATAGGTGAGAAGTAGCCAGCTGCTGTGTGGCTTTCACTCACCTGTTGTACATATCTACTCTTACTTTCACTTCAATTAGTGATTTGTATTTTCAATATAAATTTCTTGGATCGTACAGAAATGATTGACACAACGGCTCTCTTAACGAAACTATCACTATGCGAAAGGAAAACAAGTGAAATAGACAAAAGGGGGCGTGAGCTACTCAAAATACATAGATGGAGCTGGCCGCATGCTGAATGGTGTAAGTCAGAACCCGCCCCTTTTGCCGTCATCATTGAAAGTGTGGATAGCAATAATGGAAGGTGATTTTCACAGTCAGCATTGGACAGCGTGGTTCCTATGGAAGGAAGGGATACAGAATAGTGAAACCCATCGCAGCATGGTGTTGGTGTGCAGGAACTAAGCATCCTCAAAGCATGCCATATACCATTGGTTGGCCAGTTCAGCAGTGGAATGGAGACCGCAGCCAAAGGTATCAGCGCGGGACGACCAGCAACATCTCAATACAGCAGCAAATATAGCAGCCATGTCTGATTTAACCATGGCAAACAGGCGCATAACATTCAACAAGATGCAGAAAGAGATAGGGCTTGCACAATGAATATTGCAGCCAATTGTGCATGGTGATTTGGAGATGACAAATGTGTGTGCAGAGTGGGTGGACCTCGGACCTCGAACCAAGACCCTGGACTACGTCTTGCTTGAAAAGATGAAGGATGCAGTCAGGGGCCAACATGTTGAATCTTCTGCTGAAATGCATGCAATTGTCCCTAGGTGGTGCACCAACACCCCCCACAGACTGCTTTACCAAAGCCCTTTGAGACCTCTTAACTAGATGGCAGAAGTGTATTGACATGGATGGGGATTATTTCTAACTGTTGCACTATCAGTTTTTTGTTAATTGTATTCCACTCTGTGGCAGCATTTGTGTCATTCATTTCTGTATGATCTAAATATTAAATAAGATATCATGTGGCCAAAGGAAGAAATAGTAGCAAAATTAAAAGAAAAATGACTAGAATGATGGTACAAGTTTCTTTCTGTAGTTAAGTAGAAAAGTTATGAAACACATGGTATTTGGATCTCTGATTTTGCTGCTCCACCTTGATATGGAACAATCAACAATCTGCACTATTCGAAAACACAAACGAAACAATGTTGCAAGAACTTCAGGAATCCTTACATGAAGATGATTACAAATATTTGAAGAAGCAGACTTTCTTACTGCTTATATGGATAAATGAGCAAATGTTAACACGTAATGTTTCTCAGGGCAGCATTTGTAAATAAGCAAAAGCAACTGCACAATGCCAGGCAAAAAAAAACTTCCCAGTATCACTGCTGATACAGATATTTTCAAAGCCAGCAAACAGTTGTCTGAGAATTTTAAGAAAGATGTCACGTGCATTTAAGCACGGACAAGCTGTTGAGGACTTTCTTTTCTAGTAAATCTTCAACTGTGAAAAAAATTTGTTTATCCAAGGAACAAATGTATCACCCAAGAGAAGATAGCATTACCTGGATATAATTTAATGAAGGATAGGCAAATTCTTTTGTTATATGGAAATATAAGTGGACATCAGCCATTACTTGTGCACCACTCACAGAATATAAGTGCTTATAAGAAGTTCTACGCCAAAGCAACTTTTTAAACACCAAGGTAAAATCTAAATCAGAATTAATATCCAGATAATTTTAGAACATCTCGTTAATAGTCTTCACTGCTTAGGACTCACTGACAAAGCCTTATAACAAGTGACTTGCAAAACCAAAATTTGGCATGAAGGAAATTTGTGTCTAGATTGTACTTAATGCATTGACTGAGTACTCCAGCACTGAAGAAGCTTTCTTATCAATATTACTGCATCTTTTCGGCAAAACCATACATTTGAGCGAAGATGTGAAGGAGTTGCTAGAAGACAAACAAAATTAACTCAGCATAGAAGTACTAGAACTTCAAATGCAGTACAATAACAGATGTGGAAGAAATGGCTTCAGAGGGAAAAGAAGAAGGAAGTTCCTAGTTACTTGATCCACAATACTTGTACAAAACAGAGTGAGGTGCAAAGTTTCACAGAACATTCTCACCCCGATAAAACAGTAGTAAGGAAAAGCAAAAATATTTTCAGTGACATGTCATGTCTTTGGGAGCACCTTAAAATATAAGCAGAAACAAATCACACTCAACAAATTTTTAGTAAGAAAATTATCCAGCTAATCTTATACAGACGTGAATGGTGCTAAGAGAAAACATCAAAAAGATAGAAGCTACTCAATATTTTTGTGGTAAAGTGATATACCCAATATTTTTTGGGTCACTTTAAACAATATTTTGATCCTTTTCCTTCTTTGCATTGTTCTACTGAATGGCATCAACTTTCTTCTGTACAAATACAGCAAAATTTAATTAAATATCCCTTTTCTTATGTTCAGTATTGGAGTTATATTATGTATGAATTAGATTTATGGAATTTCACTGGTTTCTGTATTACAAATTGTGTGCAAATTACTCTTTCATAAGCAATCCTTTTGGGCCCAGGAACAAATCAATCCATTTTACATTAGTTCCTATGAGAAAAATTATCTCTGTTTAAGGACATTTCAGACAATGAAACATCTTTAGGAACGAATTATATTCATGAACCAAAGTTCCACTGTATATTCTCTTTCTCAAGGAAAAAACGTGAATCATTTTTACATTATGCTGACAGTTAAAAATGAAATATGTAAAAACAAATATATCAGTGAAAGCACTTAAAAGCTTAATGCACATGTCCTGACATCTATGATAAGTTTGACTGCTTCAATTAACTCACAAAATGAGATATTTAATACTTTTTCACATACTAAATATAAACAGCAAAGCAATAATTGATTACTCGTGATGCAATGAGAAAACATAGGTAAAGTACATCACAGCTATATAGATGGAAGACTTTGCGAAGGGCGAAATTCAAAACAAGAGTTCAAAAGGTTATTTTTTTTTTAATTGTGCACCAGATTTTGCAATATATGGGCATTTACAATAAATGCAATACTCTAAAAATATTAATAAGGATTAATTAATAATTAATTAAAGTGGATAAATAAGTATGGAATCTAGCACACTGCAATTTTAATTTTTCTTAAGTTTAACATTAATTGCTCACAATATCTAAAAACATGACTGAATACAATTTGTTTCAGATACACAGTTATTTCAAAATACCAAGATTTAAGCAAAAACATAAATTATAGATATAGTGTTCTCTGAATTGAAAGAATAAAATAAGTAATCCAACAATTTCTATTTGTACTTCTCTTAAGTTTAGCAGAGAGCTTTCACACTGTTTCAGATCAATAAAAAAACATCATTACCTAATATAGATAAAGCCTAATGCTCGTATGTATGGGGAATCATTGTGGTTTATCAAACCTACCACTTGCTTTCGAGTTAACTTCAATGTGAATAGCTTGTAAAGAATGCAAAAAGCAGTTGAAACTATTCCTCCAGCTCCTACCCCTCGAACCTGGCAGGGGGAAAAAAAAAAAAAAGCTGAAAGTCACCGAAAGCACAAACATAAATGTAAAACACCTTGAATTGTATGTATCAGCCCATTTACCCAATAAATGAAATGGAATTATTATTCTGAAAGTAAGAAGAATTATCACAGTGCAAAAGTATCATAAATAAAGTTGAGTAATTATTGAATATGAAAAAATAAAAAAACAATTATTAATTACAGGTTCCACTGAACTCAACTTCTAATTTCTGATTTTCCTTGATCAAAATTGAAAATTTTTTGACCAAATGATAGTTATCAAGTATGAGTAATAGTTAAATTTTACATATTTAAAACAAAAATCTAATGGCATATAAGAACATTATAAAAATCCTATTATCTTTTTCTCATTACTACAAAATACACACCACAGACACATATTCCTTCATATAACATGCACCTTTTTCTTCATGAAGAAACCTGAAACATACATACGGAATGTTCTTGCCTTTTGAAGTCATTTATTTAAAGATTTTTCCCACGCTTTCCAACTAGTGCAGGATTTACGTATAAACTATAGCTTAGGGTCCCCCAAAAATTAAAATATAGTTTAACAAACTTATATTTACACCTCAAACCTAATACTAAAGTCTAAATCTGGCTCTGCTTCCCAAAATGGTCTACGAAATTGGTAAATGGAACAATATTATGCGAGGAAAATGCTTGAAGGATTAAATAATTTTACAAAGAGGATAGTTTTTATTCAATGAAGGTGTGCACAAGAATGTTATTCTAGGGTTTTGAGAAAAGGGGAACATAGTTTAGGGTAAGAATGCACTTCAAACCCAAATTAATTTTTGGATTTAGGAGTTGGATGCTTTCCCTTTCTGTAGTCATCTGAAGGTGTGATTTTCAAGTGAACATTTTAGTAAATCACATTTGCTTTAGTCGAAAAACACTTGATTTAGTGTTCTTTTTAGTAGTAAATATGGCTCCAGTATACGAAACAGACAGAACGTTGGTTTTAAATAAGTCATTCAATTTGTTAGAGAATGGAAACTGCACTTCATCAAGGATGTTTGGTGTTGGTGAAAAGTCGCACATGAGTGGGAAAAAAATGAAATCACAATAGTTAATACGGCCCAAAGAAAAATTATACTTTGCGTAAAGGGGTCATGAAAAAGTCTATCCTAGATGAAAGTATTGCAAACTAGCTCCTAGAAAATCCCCAAAATGGATTACCTGTAACAAGAAACAGCATATGTTTAGTTGCTTTAAAGCAAGAAAAAAGGAGTAATGTAGTCAATTTATGGTACAGAATAATTTAGTTAAGCGAGGGGAAAAAACCAAACTTTCACAAAGACTTCCAAAAGATTTGGACAACAAATTTTTAAGGTTCCAGAACTATGTTATTGACCTACAAAGGCAAAAAAAAAAAAAAAAAATTTACCGCCACATACTGATACTATGGATGAAACTCCAGTAATGTCTAATACGACAGAAGTTAGATAATTGATGTAAAAGTAACAAAAACTGTTCACATAAAAACAATTTAAAAAAAGTCATAAGAAATCTCACCTCAACGTAGTTCTTTCCTACTTAGAGGATGATTCAAAATTAAAACCCATGGTTATTTTTAAGAGAAATATGATACCGAAATGTAATTTTCAAAATGGTATTTTCATTCATGTTCACGAGAAAGGATGGATGAAATTATGGATAAAAAATGTTTGGTAAAAGTGTTCTGTTGCCTTGATGAATTCATAAAGTCTTTTAGCTTAAGACATGTTCAGATCCCACCTAACAGATAATAAGAAGAAATTGTCAGAAAAGTATAATACAGACATGCCAGTTACTACAGGCGGGTTAATGTCAACAATGTTAGTTATGCATATCAATAAACCATTCAATGAAAATTCAAAACGACACTGGAATACATAGATGTTAGATAGAAAGTGAAAAACCATTTAAAAAAGCAAGCCAAATACATCACGCCAGTCTAGAAATTGTGTGTGAGTAAAAGCACGAAATGAAATTAAACCTGACATAATTAAAAAATTATTGACAAATGTAGCATAGCTACAAATCTAGATAGAACGGAAGATGATTGAGTATTTATGGGTCAGCATAACAGTTGATGAAGACGAAACAGAATTCAATGATGTGCCTGAAGATATAAAAAATTTTTAGTTCATACAGTATGCCATTTAAATAAACAGCAATTAGGTACATGCAGAAATCTAATTTTTGTATGCTCATCTTTTTCTTATTTTTAAATCATTTTTATATCCAACGCATAATGCACACCTGTTAATTTAGATGCTATTTTTTCTAAGTGCACATTATTCCTGAACATATAGTATATATATATATGCAGAACATACCCATCTGGACCATTCAAAAAAAGCAAACAATATTTTGAAACAAAAATATCCAATCAAGAAATACTTGTTCATTTCACATGAGAAATTTATCATAACATTAGCGATTTTTCCTACAGTGTTTCAAAATAAATCTCACGATTAAAAAAAGTTATGCAATTTTTTTAAAGTGCTTATTTATCATAGCATTAAACCAGTTAAATATTTGAAAAAAAAAAAAAAAAAAGAAGAAGAAAGCATAACCAACAGCTAAAGGCTGACAAAACTGTATCAGATGTAAGGCATGTAAAATATTTTCTGCATGAGATTTCATTAATTTTTCAATAGCTTTCTTAACAAGTGGATTAATTTTTATTCATTAGTTATGATTTAAAACATAAAATTTTTATTTTTTTAAGATTACTGATTTATACTCCTTTTGTTTTTAATATTTTTTGAAGAAAAAATTATATCTTCCATCAAAACAATTTTCATTTCTGTGACTTTCCAAGCAAGTGGAAACCCTATATGACAATAAAGCATGTATGGTTAGACAATACTGCCATAAAAACAAATTATTCAGTTTTTGTACAAAACTGTCTCATATATTTTACAAAAAACAACATTACTCACACCACCACACATTCCTGTCTGACCAGATGTTTTCCTACTACCTTTTTCCCATGGTTCTAAATGCGTGACCTAGAAAAAGCAAAGACTTCTGAGGGAATATTTAAGAAATACATCAAAACTTATTTTTATGAGATTTTTTCTCAAATTCATATTTAATTTCTAAAATAATAGCTCAAACAAAACTTTTAATTCCATAAAAATTACAGAAATCAAAATTACTTTACACAATTCAAAGTACAGAAATACCCATACATAAAATAGTAATTGTTATTAAACACAATGCAAATGAATAGTGATTATCCTTATCAATATGTGATGAACAATCAGATATTCAAGATTACATATTAAAAAAACGGCCTTTTTATAAAAAATTTAATCCATAATTTAAAAGATGAAGCCCATTTAAAATGAAAAAATGCTAAAAACTACTAAATATCACTTAATATAACACACAAAATAAATCACAAGGAATAATCATTAATCACTGTAAGAGCATCATGATTTTAAAAGCAAGATCCATGTTATACAGGTTTCATTTTTAAATCTTTATTATTGTTATTAAGATATGCCATTAATTAATCATGAAACAAATTTTTTGTCCCCCCCCATCCCTTTTTGATTTGATGACATGATTACTTTTCAATATTGTGTATCACAATTTCCAAACATTTCAACAAGTTTCAGCTGAATTTTTTATTATTTATTATTATATGCAAATATTAAGAGACAAATATTTTATTTAAATGACATATATATTTTATACACTTTTGTAAGTTTACAATGAATGATTTTGAACTTAGAGCCTTTGAAAATTTATTAAGCAAAACAGGAACCTCTGGAATTTTAAATACTTTCTGGTGACGGTGTTATATCAGAAGATGACTTGGAAGAGGCTCGCTTTAAAAAAAAATTCTTCAGCACATCTTTGCACTCCAACCATTCACACGTTGTAAGCATGGAAAGCTAGCCAAACTAAGCGCTTGAAAGTGGTTATTATGCCAAATAATCATATTCATACTGCATACTCTGTCTTAAATATTGAAAATCTATGACACCGAAAGATATTTTTTAACTAAATCTAAGATTTAGGAATCTCTAAAAAAATCTAAGATTACTGAACTTCCGTTTAAAATATATGGTGTCCATAAATGTCATTTTATGCTTGTCACCTTTCTCTATCATTCTGAGCTTATAAAGTCATGAGAAGTGTCAAATACTTCATATGTGCTGCTGCCCACTATGAAAGTGCCCTTTAGAACAAACATGTCACTGGAAGAAATGATAAAATTCAGTCATTTTGCCTGCTTTCAAGTAGTAACATTGACACCAATATGACTAGCCACTGTCATGGGGTTTTAAATTCTTCTTAATTTATTCACACATTAATTTTAAATTACTCCCCATATTCAGAGAAGGAAAGTACGCATTTTTTGTCGAAACAATTTAGTACAGTACAAAACTGAAGATCCGGACCCATTGGGACTTGAGCTATTCCGGATTTGAGATTTTTCCAGATATTGGATCGTCAGTTTAAATCTAGTATAATGACATTCAGAAATTACAAAATTAAAAACATAAAATAATGAAGCATTTATGACCTTAACAGAATCAAAAATACACAAGGGGAAAAACTCATTATTTATTTGTTTGCTTTATAAAACATTTCTTTCAATGCCACTTGCTTTCGTTTTTGTGTTGAAACTTTCTCTTCAATTCAAAAGATAAGACATAATTTCTTCAGTTTCTAGTTTGAAAATTGTATTCTTCCAGTCCTGTAACTGTTGTGTCAAGACTTCCCACTAAACTGTCAATAATTGTAATATGAGTATTATTTACAAAATCTATTTTTTGCATATAGAAAGAAATTTCAGTTAAATTTCTCCACATCATACTTCACACAGTTAGCTGAAATCTGTAATCATCGTCAAACATAATGTCAACATTAAACGTTACCATGCTGATTGGTATTAATTTGGAAATAACACAAAAACTGTTTAGACATCACTGCGCGAGTCATTTCTTCAGCTACCGTATGTGGATAGCTATGCAGTAATGAAAGCAAAAAATTAAAAAGATGTGCAGGTTGGCAACAGGGATATAAATTATCCAAAAGATGTAAAATCAATGATGTTTCAATCAAGGAGGTTAGAATAGGAGGAGGGAAGGTTCAACTTAAACGGTGAAGCGTGGCGGCCATCTTCCTGTTATCACCGTGACTTGTGCAAGGAAGTCTGTAATTGCAACATTTTTTTCTTTTCTTTTTGAAGCATGTCAGCTTGTGTTGCATATGGATGCACAAATAGATTCTCGAAAAAAATTCTGGGCATTACTTTTCACACGTAAGTATTGATTTTCTTTTTTTTATGCAATATGACAACTATGTTAAAAAATATCACGTCATGTTGTTTTCTTTCCAGATGTGAAAAAAAGGACTTAAATAATCAAAACATGTTATGTAATATAACTACAATAAAAAAATGTTAAATATATTTTAATGTTTCTGTTTATAGCTGGTATCTTCGTTCCTTAAGATACAATGATATATGGTAGGATTTAAATTGTATAATTTGAATGTTTTAGGTAATTCCTTTTATAACTTTCATGAAAAGTAAGAAATCAATTGTTACTATTTTTATTAATTGTAAAGGTGTTAAGTAAAGCAATGCTTTTCTTTATATATTAATTATTATTCATTTTTTTAAGTTAAGATAAACTGTTCTGTTGTTAAAAATTTTTTGCATAAACTTACAAATTTCTGGGCAGTATAGTGATAAAATTAAGTAAAATATTTACACAATTGAACATGTGGAAAGATGTATCCAAAAACTTGTATAGGTATATTTCTGTAATTCAGCTTAATTAAAGGCAGTTTCTTTGAGATTAATAAATATGAAATGCGCATAAACTGAAATCATTGAATTCACATAAATCTGTTTTATTTTATTAAGATTTATTTTCTTTTGGTTTGTTATAAGGTTGTAGATTGTGAAAAAGATCTTCTATTTAAAACTTTCATTTTAAAAAATGCAGAACGAAGAGCAGCTTGCATACGAGCTGTTCGAAGAGAGAATTGGATGCCAACTTCCTATTCACGACTTTGTTTGGATCATTTTTCTGAGGATCAGATTGACAGAACTTCATTATGCTGTGTAAGACTGAGAGAAAATGCTGTGCCTAATATCTTCAAAGCATTTCCACTTCACCTGCAGAAGGTACATTATTCTGTTATTATTACATAGAATAAGGAATTAAATAAGAATTTGTGTACATGTTTATCTCTGAAATGATATTTGCAAAAGATCAAATACTTCTAGTAGCCTGATTTCAGTAAAAACTAGTAAAATGATATTGGTCTAATGAAACTTGCAATGGCATAACATGCAAACTTATCATATGTATATGTGTCACTGTGGTAATGATTTCCAAAATCAAAATATCTTTCATTCAGACTTAATGAAAAGATAATGTTACTTTACTTTAAAGAATATGCCAGTAAATTTAGAAAGCATTATTTCAAAACAAAAATTAATTGACATTAAATCACTGTTTGGAAAATGAATTATCTTATTTTTAGTTAGTGTTAATTTTCATAAAATTTTTAAACATAACATCATTTTGCATGTTAATTAGACTATATAAATATTACAAGATACTTGTAAAAAGTTTATTAGAAGTAAATCTGCATTAGTCATGCTTTAATAAATATCTTTTTTTCTTTTTTTTTTTTTTTTTTTTTCCAGACCAAAAAAAACACGAAAAGTTCCTGCAGAACGTCTTCTTGAGGATAAAAAAAAGAAAGAGGTAAGTTAGTTTTGAATTTAATGTTACCAGCAGTTCTTTTGTTTTCTTGATAAAATGTATTTGAAAGTAAAATATTTTGTATTCAAAGAGAATAAAGCAACTTTTTGCGTGAGAATTATCATAATAATAAGAAATGTTTAGAATCAACAATAACCTGTCCCTTAACCAACAGAAATTTTTTTTTTTTTTGATTTGCTACTTTTGGATATAACGTTGTGCTTTATGCAAGAATTTCTCTTCTAAAGCTTGAATAAAGTTAAAAGCTTAATGCAAATAATTGCTGGAAAAAATTGGTCATGACTATTTTAGACGAGGACAGTTTTTTAATAAGAAAAATGAAAGAATTAATGCTTTCTGGGGAGTTGGCCATTTGTCTGAAGCTTAAAAAAGACAAATAACAGATTTCTTCTTGACAAAAAACTGAAAATGTTCTATAAATTTTATTATTTTACCAATTTAAACAGTGCCATTCCTGAAATGAAGTTTTGGCAACAATCGCCAATTATTACTGAGGAATTCTAAAGGACACAGTCATCTGTAATGGGCACTGAATCATACTGTTTTACCAGTTAACTGAATAATATTCAAATACAAAATAATAATAAAAAATATAAAAAATCAGACATTCATTCAGAACACATACATTCATACAGATTCTTTATTATTTAATTTCTTTAAATATAATACAGGGTGATAATATTTGGTGGCAACTATTTGAAAAGTGATTCGCAGTTTATAGTTTTCAATGCAAAATGGCAAAATGAAATCAATAGTCCTTTAGGGCAAATTGCCCCTTTGGACTAATAAAGAATGAATGATACTATTAAAATGAAAGCAGGAATACCTTTTGTTATTTTTATGTAATTTTTTATTTGCCATACATGTGATTGATTTGTTTCGTCTTTTTTTTTTTTTTTTCTTTTTTTTTTTTTTTTTTTTTTTCTTTCTTTCTTTCAAGGAGCCTGTATTATGTGAACCACAAACTAGTGCAACGTCTGTTGAATATTCTCCATGCAAGCAACAGCTGAAGCGAAAGCTGCATAAAGCTGAAGAATTAAATAGTGTATAAAGAAAATTAAGCTATTGCAACAAACTGCACGTAAACAGAAAAGGACTATCTGCAATTTGAAAACTGTATTAAAAGATTTAAAAAAGAGCAGGATAATAAATGATGATTATCTGGACATTTTAAGGAAATTAATTCCTGTTAATGAAGAACTTCTTTTACGGGAATTAGCAATGTGTGGGAAAGGCCAGTTACCAAAACATTACAGTAAAGAATTAAAGGCTTTTGCTTTAACTCTTCATTTTTATTCACCTAAAGCATACAATTTGAAAATTATAAAAGATTTAAAAAAAGAATAATAAAAATGATAATTTTTAAGAAAATTAATTTACATACTGTTAATTTTTTTAAACATTTTTTTAAACATTAGCTTAAAATTTATTCACCTTTTTAATTAATTTACAAAATTTTTAAATTCACATTCATACAACATACCAAGACTCTAGCAAACTGGTACAAATCTATAAATGCAGCACCTGGTTTTACAACTGAATCTTTGAATGCATTAGATAATAAACTTAAGAGTACTTCATACCAATTGCTTTTTTCATTGACCATTGATGAAATGGCCATACGTAAACATGTTGAATTTGATGGCCAAATTTATCATGGATACGTTAATACAGGTATACAGAATGATGATGATTCCCTTC